AATGAAACATGTAGGAACGTGTTCCTATGGAAATAACAATAATGCGTTGTGCATTTGCATCTTTACTCGTTACAGTACGAGCCTCATATTCAAGATACTCAAATGCTGTACACGACTATAGAAAGCAACTAAATCCGAGCTCAAGAGGCGTCTGTTGTGCACATGTGTTTTTTCTATGTTTCCTTGCATACGTTACATTGTGTTTTGTTTGCCTGCAGTTCTTTCCCCACGAGGAGCTTCCCTGGAGGTTACCTGAGTGCAATGGTTCGTTATGAATGGCGGTTAGAGAGCGCCCGAGGCACCGTCGGGCGTGCAGTAATTGACGTAATCAAAGAAATTTTGGCTCGGGGGGGGGCATGCTGGCCTCGCTGACATCAGCAGTGCATTTTCGTCTCCACGTCTGCCTGGACTTGTCGCTCCCTTCAGCCAGCAAATTCGTGGAAGTTCTCTTCTGGTTGACGGGATTATATCTGCACGACCGCAAACCCCGATGCATCACTTTGAAATGAGTCATGCTGGCTCTCGACGCAGTGACACTTTGACCGACGTGCATCTTGTTCTGAGTAGGGCTTCTTTCTTTCTTTTTTTTTCTTTTGCTCTGAAAGCTTTTCTTATGAGTCACTGCTTTGAGAAGATGCAGGATTATACATGTGCCTGTTTGGCTCTCAGAGCTAATTTAACCAGTTGCACTAGATACAGAGCGAGATAATGTTCAAAAACGAGCCTCATGAAATTCTGTCAAGTGAAGGAAAATAATTACTTAAAGTTATTTGTAGTTCCACAATGTGTCGCAAATGGCTCTCACGAGAGGCTTTTTAATAATAAGACTTCTCTGTGCAAACAGGAAGCTGAATACAGGTGCAAGTATTTTTGTGTGTCTGTGTGCAAATGAGATCATGCTTCATCTGATCCATCCGAAATAGCAGCCTGTGATTAATTTGACGTTGTCACTCAACTGCACGGCAGCAGTGCTACAAAGAATCATAATATGCACACAGGTGTACTCATACGCAGCCGCTAATCTTTATGTCGGCGCACGTGACCCCGCTTGGAGTTTGACTTGGGTGTGAGAGCGCTGGACTTTCACCCAGCAGACCCCTTTTGTTGTCTTGTGTCAAAGACCATATTGATCTATCGGTCACTTCTGATGCCGGTTTTGCAGTTTCTATAACACACATATTGTACAAATGTTGGCAAAAGATAGAAAAAGAAAACATCTTAGTGAATCCAACACAGGGTTTTGCAGGTACGCCTTTGTCAGCATGCAACACCTCTTCAGGAAGACAAACAGAGGAGGGATCCCAAATTCCATGAAGAAACATGCACTAAATGTGCATTAATCTTACAACCTGATTATGATTCAGTAAAAAAGGTATGGAAATAAATAAATGATCAGCTACGGGGCAATAGGAGAAGTGGTAAAAACACCTAGATTGTATTCATAACAGATTCACAATTGCTAACCAAGTTGGACGGTGTCATGCAGCGGCCCACAGGGCTGCACCTGCGCGCCTCGTTGCAGAGCTTTCACCGGTGGCCCCTCAGTAACGCATGCATGACGGGACGCATTTTCTTCAGACAGCCATTCAACATTCCACTCGCGTTGTTGCACAATGGGCCGCGTTGCCTCGTCGCTCGAAGGCGACGGCTTTTCAGAGTGTCCACTCCGGCTCCCCTTTGCATGGAGCTTCCTCCTGGCAGACGTTTCACATGCTGCTTTTATTAAGTCTAATTGGACTTCCTGACATAATAGACTGTTTGTCCGCTGTGCCGCAGCGGGAACGACTGGGCCAACACCGTCGCTCTGTGGACTCTTTGACCAACTCAAACCCGCCCCGCCCCCCCACCCGTTTGCGCCACCCAACTTGAGTCAGACGCCTTTTTTTGAGAAGGCCTCGAAGGAGAGGTCATCGAGTGCAGGAATGCCACTGCTCACTGTGTGCCCGTGCATGTGTGCGTTTTGGGAGTCCGCACTCTGTAATTAAATTCTCCTCATGCATTTAGGCGCATTGGGAGCATGAACTAGAATGTTGACTGTGAACGCATCCGCTCAGAGACAAAAGCAGTCGAGGCCCGTCTCCCAGCCCCTTTAGACACGGGGCCCCCTACCAGCTGCTGAAAGGCCCCCCGGCACAACTTCTTCTCAGCTCCTCTTTAGGTTTTTACAGATAAAAATAAAACAACCTCAGATGTCTCAGAGGCTGAAGATGAACATGAATACCTTTAACTAATCTAGGGGATTAGCGGCTGGATCGTCAAAATGGTTTCTCTAGAAGCGCCCCCCCCCAAAAAAAAATCATCCGCTTGACGGATTGCAATTCTGCTTCTGAGAGCTGTATTTTTTATTTGGCATTTCGCTCCTCATTTCAGGGCACCTTCTTTCACATTTAACTTTTAAATGATCAGTAATTCATTCATTTGAAAGAGCAGCAGGATGTGGAGGGTGCAATGAAATCTGTCATCTGAGTTCTTAGAGCGAAGCGGACTTTGTGCATGAAACGTTCCCTTTGGATTAAGCAAATCCAATCCTCTCTATCTCTTATAAAACGGATTGTTTGGTGAGGCTGTAGAGGACCAGCATGTTTAGCGTAACAACTAAAATTCAAATTATCCTCTCTTTTTAACGTAAAGAAGCAATAAACTACAATGATTTAAAATAGTGCAGCTATTTCAAAGATTTGTTTTCCTTTTAAAAAAAGAGCAAGAAACCAATATTTGTGGGAACCACTGAATAGTAAATAGTGTTTTACTTAAATCTTTTGAAAATATCTTAAAATATCTAAAAGGCATTTACTGTTTTGTTTGTGTACGTAAGATTTGAGATCTTCTGCTATCTTGACGCAGGCGAGTTAGCTTTGCTCACTAACATCAGTGCTGACTTTCACGACGCATTATACACCTTGCTGACGTTGTTTCAATACCTGCCTTGTCCTTGCTGCTTCAGCGCGCTCTGGGGAGAATTTGCAAAAGGGTTGTGCGGCTTATGAAATAGACGGTGCCATTCTCAAAACCTGTGAAATGCACCGGGTTAACTGCGCCACCAAGCAAATAGCCTCTTCTGCACTGCACCATTAGGGTGCACATAAACACAGGGTTTACGTGCACCCTGCTGATTTGATCAAAACAATTCCTGTGTGTTACAGATAGGAATTCAATCATAATGTCCCTTTTAGACTTTTATTTTTGTCTATTCATTGCATAAAGTTCCCCTCCTCATCAACACAAAATGGCATCATCACCTCCCTCTTACATACAGTGTGCACAAGTCTTTTTTGTTCACCCCTGAATCTTTCTCACTTTGATGCTTTCTCTCCGGCGAAAAACAAACGCCTGTTGGTTTGTTTTGATGTCAGCAGCAGCTGCAGCACCATCTCGAATCACTAGTTTCATGCATGCAGCAGTTACAGGGACCTGCTCTTCCAATATCACTCATAGAACGTTCTGCGAGAAGTGACGGCTGCCGTGAAGAAGAGGCCGTCTGCTGCGCTGTGATAATTCATAATTACATGCAAACTCCCCAGGGTGGTTTTTACATTGGAAACGAAAACATCTCCAGCTTGTCCAAAAAGGATGTGATCTCCGTGCAGAACAAAAAAAAAGAAAAGCCTGCCTCCCTCACATGGCTGAGGTTCAAGCCGCGCAGCACCTACCTCCCTCCCACCGAATCGCTCCGCTCATTTGGCTTGATGGATTTCCGTTTCTGTTTGTTTGCTTTGGTCGGTTTTCACTTGAAACCCAATAATAGACTTGTTTCCCATTGCCAGTAGAGTGGTTGCCCCGGACCCCTACGCCCCCCCCCCCCCCCCAATCATCCAAGACTATTTAAAAAACAAAAACCTTTGCAATAGAAAGCAGACAGAAAGGTCTACAATGTGCGTTTGAAGTAGAAGAATACATTTATCTAGGGTTACAAACTGATTCAGCAGGTTAAAAGGATAAAGATAGAAGCCGAAGCCACAAAGATCAGTGTAACACAAGACAATGAAATATAGGAACGACACCATTCTTAAAGTTGGGTTTGTATCGAATACTTTAAAACAAATGGTACCCGATATACTTCATTCTCTGGGCTGCTCATCCTTCATAACATATTTGCTAACGCATCGTGTACGGAGCAGCTCTGCGCTTCATACTTGGTGACTCACGGTGTTTGGATTTGAGAGAAAGTTCTTCATCGTGACAAACGTGTTTGGAATGTCTGAGACCGAAGGAACGGCATGTATATTTTTTGAAAATGGGCGTGTATAGTTCCGCTTAAATCAAATAACCACAAGCATTTTTTTTCGTCAGGAGAGTAAACACTAGAGAGTAAGAGAAATATGTAAACAGAAACACATCACACAGCGGCAATCTGCATGATTAATGAGTCATCCAGGCATGGAGCAATTACAGCAGCATTAAATAGCACCGTGTGATGCTTCCCATGGTATATTCAGATGGCTCATGGCAATTGTGCTGAATAAACCCCCTCCCCCACCCCCCCCTGAAAAATCATCTTGTAAAATACACGAGTTACAATGCAAAAAATTAAAATGAGTGAAGCTAATAATGATAATGCAATAAGCACAGCTAAAATATTTTTAATTGCAAATCGGTATTTTGTTCACAGTATTAGGAAAAAGGTGTCCACTCATTTTCATGGCAGAAAAATAAAGATAATAATATATATGTATAAATATATATATATATGAGAGAAATACATTTTTTCTATAAACCCTTTTATGGCAGTGACGAAAAATGAGCTAAACAATAAACCTTCACGTTTGCATCTGCAGCTCGTGAAGAAACGCCTTATGTCATCCTTTTCCGTCATATTCCCGCTCAGTGTGTTTGTGCACCGAGAGGAAGGGGAGGAGGTGGTGGAGCTAGTGACAGAGGTGGAGGAGGGGTTGTGGTGGGGGCTTTTAGGCCGCCGAACCAGCGCGTCCGAGGGGCGGGGACTCGAACGAGCGGCCGCTAGTGCGATTCACCAAGCGCCGCTGCGCCCGATCCGGGGAGTACGCGCGCGCCCCGCGCGGCCACCGACGGCGAAGCCGCGCGACGCCGACGATGTTGTGAATGAGGGGATGGAGTGACGTCAGCGGCCGAATGTCAACAATGTAGCGGCCGAGAGTAGGCGTTCCAGTCGAGTGTAACAAACAGCGGAGACGGAGCGGCACGCCGCGCTTGCTCACCACGCACGCTTTACACACACACACACACACACACGCACACGCACAAACGTGCACGCGCGTGCCGTCGTACACGCAGAGGCAACAACAGACCGTGGAGTCACACAGGCGTTGTTTTTCTTTTTTTCATAGAAGAAATCCGCTAAATCTGCAGCCCGGGAGGCTTTGAGGAAGCGACAAAGCGAGTCATCATGTGAAAGAACGTATGTGGGAAAGGGACAAACGCGCCGGGATACGAGCAGAATAGGAAGTAAAAAGGTGAGCTGCCGTGCACGTTTCTCTTTCTTCTATCAATATTTGTCTGTGCGCGTGTATGTGTGTGAGTGAATTTACGGTTTGTCAGTGTCGCGTCTATTGTTGACGCGCTCGTGGCCGAGTTGCAAACTTGCGTAAGTGTCGCAGCGGTGGGCTAAAGCCAGGGGAGTCCCCCTCAACGGGACAAATATTGGTCCAAATAAACCGGGGGGGAAGGAGGGGGGGTGTTTTAAAGACCGCGTGCGTGCCTCTTAAAAGCTCTTTTTGGCGGCGGTGCGAGTACTGAAATCGAGAACGCGTATCGGGGTGTGAACGCGGGGTTCGGGAGCGAAACGGAACTCTGAGCCACATCCTGTTGTGCGCTGAGTCAATGCGCTCCCTTTTCCTCTCCGGGTCCCGGCCGAGGAGACGCGTCCGTGATCCGGGAGGAGGGTCAGGCGCATTACCAAAATAATATTCGTCACTGTCATCAAACGCCCCACTCGTTCGGGACACGTGCGTTCATCAAATTAGTCTGAATAAAACGTTGATATCATTTTGTGGTAGATACGCTTTGCACTTTTCTGCTATTTCCCAATCTGACATAATGTAATCACATGCTCACTATTCCACAAAGGGGGAGGGGGGGAATCGTCCAAATATTTGCTGTGTAAGGACGAGCCTTGTTTGCTCCCACAGCCAATAGAATCGCATCAACCCCACGACGGCGTCGTTTAAGACCCCCTATCTGCATTATCGTTATCCCCTGTGGGCAACGCAAATGGACCAAAACGGGAACGAGCGCTTTCCCCGTCAGCATGGCACCGTTTTCGTGTTCTTGAATCAACCAAGTGGCGACTGTGTACATGAAGAACAGCTGCGCCTTTGCGCGCGGTCCTGCATTGTCATGTGGACGGTGCGCTGCAGCAGCGCCGCTTAGTCAGTCCCCGTCAGCCTCTCTGTGCAGGACCCACTGATGTCATTTGGATTTATTCTGCGTGGCGTCAAGCTAATACAATTCAATTTGACGTCTTTTTAAATGGCAATGGCGGTTTTTGACGCACTAGTGCCGCTAAAGACATTTGGTGCGACTTGTGTGTTTGTTTGTTTTGACAAAAGTTTTGCTCCGATGTGTCGGGTAATTTAAAACGGGCAGCCCGTCTGCACGCATAAGAGCACAAATTGAATTGTTTTCATAGTATTGTTTGGCCGCCACGTGTGCCCGAAATTATAAAGGAGAGGAGAGTGATGCTGCCATTTAATGCAGTGATGCAGCGTTTTGCGGGGGTGGAGAGGGGGGGGGGGGGGGGGCGAGGGGGGGTAGCGATATCCAGGGCATCGCAGCCTCTTTGTCTGTTTTGTGCTGATGCAACGCGATGATGATGATGGTGATGGTGGTGGTGGCACTGAGCGGGGGGGGAGTCGCAGCATCACCCTCCCCCGTACAGTACCGCGATGGGTCGCGTTTCGCTGCTGCCGTTACTCCGCAATAATGTCGCACGGATGTTTAGTTTAAGCTCTAATGAGGCGTCGTGGTCATATTGGAAAACATGAGGGGGAGGGAGGGGGGGGGGTAGACAACATGATCGGTTGTTCCGTGGCACGGTTCTGCTTTCGCAACACGTGCGCGTATAGCAGGCGGCACTCAGGCGCAGTTTTTACGCAGGGGGAGCCTTTTGTTCTGTACAGTAGCCCCGGTGCCTTCCTTTCTTTTCTTCCCCATGCGTGGCAATTCCTCGCATAGTGTAAAGGGTAGGGTGGGGGTGGGGGTGTCCAGGAGTGCGTAAACCCCACAGTGACTCAGTCGGGCTTAAAATGCCGCTTCATCGTATCTGCCAGCGCTTTGTTTGCCCCGCGGATGGCTTGCCGTCGGACAGAATCAGTGGTATTTATATTCCATGCATCATAAATCACAGATGTCTTTGTCCGTCAGTAAAGGCAGAAATTAAAGGGCATTTTGAATCTGGCAGTAGATTGTCTCTATGACTTTGCGTCTCTTATCATCCCATCATATCAATGGCACGGTGGTTCATTGTGTCAGTGAGGGCAATGGTTTGAGTCTGCTCTCACTATGTGGCAGACATTTAACATTTAGCCCTGTAAGAGAATTTTGCTTTGTTTTTTTTAGTTTAGTGTTTTGTCTCGATGGAAAACCTTCTGATTTGGACCGAACCGATCTCTGCTCTGCTCCATTGTGGACCCGTCATTCTTTATCTGCCATACAATGATATCCTTACTTTAGGGGACAGCAATTGATTTAATCCATATTGAATTCAAATGTTTTTGACGCATTGGTATACTATTCATTTACAATATACCATTCTAAAATTACATCAAAACACACATAAAAACTAGGGCTGTCAATAGATTAAAAAAACAACAACTAATTAATCTCACATTTTGAGATTAATTGCGATTAAAAGTTTGTTTTCCTTCTAAAGACCGAACTCACCCCCCTTCTGTTTGACACGTGGAGGAATTCCTCTTCACAGTTCTGTCTGTCTCTGTTGAACTCTCTTCAACCGTCTCTGTCTCTCCGATCTAAGTGATTGCAGCTAACGGCAGTTTCATTTCCGGGGTCAACAATATTAGGGGTGTAACGATTCATTTTAACAACAATTCGATTCGAATCGCGATTCATGGTTGCCGATTCGATTCATTGACGATCTGGGTTAATTTAGTTCGATTCGATTCAGTGACTTGAAATCGATTCAGTAACTTTACTGGAAAGTGCAGGCAAAGTTTCCGAGATCCCTGTCGTTTCTTGTAAGGAAATCAGGTTTAAATTAATTATGGATATTATAAACAAGCAAACAACAATTAATGGCAAATGTATTAACCTTTTTATTTGAATCAAGTGCCATTTTCAATGTAAACATTACACAATAATTACACAATGTTTGGATCAATTCACAGAACCCCGGATTTTCAACCACATTGTAGGGTCACATGTCTTTACAGATAAACATGGCAATTGTTACTGTGATGTTGAGTTTGGTGCTGGCGAGGCCTGAGGTGTCTGCAGAGCTGAGTTACCTGCTGCTGCTGCAGCGGTGACGCTGCTAGAGGTCCTGACTGTCGGCGTTGTTTAATCCCACGGCGCCGTAGTAGATGACCGGAAAGATTCGTCGTGTTTCCGTGGTTTTTATTTGTCTTCTACATATTCTACAAACAGCGACCGACTTATTTAGAACACCTCCGTGTTTGCAAAAGCCAAAATGTTTCCACGCGCTGGATCGATAAGTTGGTTTGTAAATGTCTCGCTCGCAGTCGTCTCCTCCACGCTGTGTTTTGTTGTTGTTCCGAGTTTCGCGCGGCTGCCGCTGCGTACTGATGACGTCACAGACAGGCAGACTGAATCCAGTAACGTTTAACGCGTCTAAAGTGCTAAAAAACAAACAAACAAATACACATCCATACCGTTTTTGTACTTAAAGCCAATGTGCAGTTTCTAAGTATTGATACAATCGATTATGTACCATTTTGATCGATTTGTAATCTATATATGTCGTCCGGAATGCCGATTTGCGGAGTACAGATCGATTCAGTGGGATCGCAGGAATATAAATCGATTAATCGATTCAGTGGATGAATCGTTACACCCCTATAAAATATGTTATCCTAATAATCTCGGCCACATCAATCGCATAGATTAACACGCTCATTTTGAAAATCCTAAAAAAATTAAATGTAATAATAAAAAAAAAACTGTGATGCATTACAAGCTATAATATTTATTCATGCACGATTAAAATTCAATCTGAATATTAAGGTATTTATTCTAAAAAGATATGAGTGCATCATCTGATATGATGTACAGAATAGGATTTAACTGAATGCAAGTAAACAAACATACTAAATCATTGCTCAACGTTCTGTCAAAACTGGCAGTCAACCAAAAATAATAACAATAATAATAATAATAATTCTTATATAACAAGTTGAGCTCGGTTTGGGAACATGTCCCAGTTTGAGTGAAGCTGTTTTGGGGATCTTGACATAATGAGTCCCTCAGGGTTCCCAGCCGCAGCTGAAATCCCACACGGCAACAGGATCCCCTCTATGTGACCCTGCCAACCCCCCCCTTCATGCTTTCCACCCTGAACAGTACCGTCCAGGTCTGCAGCTCTTCTACAGCTTTCCGCCGAGGCCCGTAGTAATAGCCCCCCCACCCCCTCCCCATCAAGCTAATTGAAACGGCAATGACGAAAAGAGCCGCTGGTGTTCCGAAAGTAACCGAGCACTTATAGGTTAATGATTCATGAAATTGCAGTTGGATGTGGGATTGGACGGACCGATCACTTTGTGAGATCCCAGCAGCCATGAAGGTGCAGAAACTAGCATCATTTTGTCAGAACTTTTACGAATTGCTGTCGACGAGTGGCCGGCGTAAAACAAAAGCAAAACCTCTTTTCAAAGGAATTAAAAAAGAATTATTAAATGGACCGTTTGAATCACTGGGGATATTTGAGTTACCTCCACCAGCTCAGCTCAAACATCTCAAGTCAGCGCCGTGGCCAGAAACAAAGGCAAAAAAAAATATGTTCCCATAGCTCTCCCACGTCAGCACAAAGGCATGTTCGACTGGCCGGCTGCCAGTGTGAGGCGTCGATGGAACACCGCTACTACCAGAAGCTATCCAACCCAAAACACCAAAGGCTTGTTGTGTTTTGGGTTTCTCTTTTTGTCTCTTTGTGTTTGTATATGTGTGTTTGACCAAGAAACGCGAGTTGCCCTGCGTGGACGCTGATGATCCCTCAGACGTTTACCGCCTCCTTCGCCCTCTGAGACCCTTGACTCGCTCCCCCTTTAGCAGCCCGTTCTTTACACTGTGCGAAACACACCAAGCGGATTGAACGATGCACATCTGGTGCTGATAGCTTATCAAAATAAAACACCGGCACAGGGTGGAAGGAGGGAGGGCGGGACGTTTAGTAGCTGTGGAGACAGTTTCGAAGAATGGGTTCTGTGTAAAAGTGGCTTTCAGTGAATGCAGAGAAAAAAACATTTAATGACGCGTAATG